TTGACATAGTGGCTGCAACAATGGACTCAAGCGTAACAACGATTGTGAGGATGGTGAAGGATCAGGCAGTGTTTCGTTCTGTTGTACACAGGGTCACTACGAGTCGGAACTGACCTGATGGCACCTAATAACAACAAAGGAGGAAGTGATGGTTCAGTGGTAGAATTCTCCTCTCCCTGCAGGAGACCCAGGTTCAATTCCCAGCCAATGCATCTCATGGGAACCATCACCTGACTGTCAGTGGAGACTTGTGTGTTGCTATGATGCTGAACATGTTTCAGTGGAGCTTCCAGACTAAGATGGACTAGAAAGAAAGACCTGGTGATCTACTTCTGAAAATCAGCCAATGAAAATCCTATAGATTACAATGGTCTGATCTATAACCAATCATGGGGGTGGTGCAGGACCAGGCATTGTTTTATTCCATTGTGCATGGGGTCACCGAGAGTCGGGGCCAACTGGATGGCAGGTAACAACCACCACAGGCACAATCAATCATTCAGGGTAGGAATGAAGGGTTGCAGAGCGTCAGCTGATAACCCTGTGGAGCAGTCACTGCCTCATCCATGTGACAGTATCTGAGTCCACCATTTGCTTGTGATGACACGGAAAGCTAGCAGACCTGGAAAAATGCAAAACCTGTCACCAAGAAGCAAATTGTTGCTGGAAGATCTGTTTCTTATTTGACTGTCTCGCAATTAAACAGAGAAACTGTCATATAAATAATGTACCACACTTTCCTACCCACCCCATTATCTTCATCATTACAGCCATATTCCCAACGGGTTTCTACTCTAGTTGAACAAAGTAGATCCCTTGGATAATCCAGACTGCCTAGAAATCTATAACTACATCTTTTTTTTAAGTAACTGATTTTTTTTCTTTTTAAAATGCTATATTCTCACCTTACTATCCACCTTCTGCTTTCAGTGATACAGTTACTTAGTGGCATTTTAGCCAATGGCATTATTTTGGTTGGGCGTGGCATGGACTTGATCAAGAGGAGAAAGTGGACTTCCCTGGATCTCCTGCTCTCCTGTCTGGGCGTCTCTCGGATTTGTCTGCAGCTCATGTTCTTCTACATGACCCTGACTTTTCTCTCCATTGTAGAATTCTCTGAATCAAGCACACATTTTGCAGTCTGCATGTTGATAAATGAGTCGGGACTCTGGTTTGACACATGGCTGGGTGTTTTCTACTGTGCCAAGACTGCCAATATCACTCACCCACTCTTCTGGCTGAAGAGGAGAATTTCCAAGCTGGTGGCCTGGCTGATTCTGGCGTCGCTGCTCTATACATCTATCGTTTCTATTTTCCACAACAAATATTCATGGCCAATTTTCCAAAAAACATTGCCCCAGTATTTCTCAAAAAATGCCACAGCTCAGAGCAAATAAGGCTCTACTTTTCTGTACATCTTTCTTGCCACTGAACTCTCCCTGCCGTTGCTTATCTTCCTTGCTTCTGTTCTGCCCTTGGTTTTCTCACTGGGGAGACACACCTGGCAGATGAGAAGCACAATGACAGGCTCCAGGGACCTGAGCAGGAGCTCCCAACTCAGGGCCATTCTGTCCATCCTGTCCTTCCTCTTCCTCTACCTCACTCACTATGTGGTCGATGCCCTGATCACTTTTTCGATCCTCCAGGCCAGAAGCCTCGTCTTCCTGTTCTGCATGTTGGTGGCTGGGACATACCCCTCGGCACACTCCATCATCTTAATTTTGGGAAACACTAAACTGAAGCAAAACGCAAAGACGTTCCTCCTTCACTGTAGGTGCTGTCCTTGAGAGAGGACTCTGATCCATTTGAGGTACCCGTGGGTTAACGGTTACTGCCCCTGCTGCACCTCCATCAGCCAAGTAAAAGTCTGTTCACAGACATATAAAACATCATTTTAAGACTGTTCAGCCTGAGGCATTTTTTATGGATTTGCTACTTTCTCAGAGGGTTAAATTGACTTTTTCAAAACAACACTTATTTGGTGGGTGGTGTCAATGTTGGTATCTACTGTGTGATAGTTTTCCAACATGTTACCATTGGGGGAAACTGGACAAAGGGTCCCAGGATCTTTTTGTGTTACTTCTTAAAACTGCATGTGAGTCTACAACGATCTCAAAAAAAAAAAAAAAAAAAAAAAGTTAAAGGAAAAAAAAGCACCTATTTGAACTTGTAATGTCAGTAGGACACGTGGAGGACGGCTGCACCTGAGTGGTTAATCTGACCTGAATGAGTCGACTGCCCGTCTCTTGTCTGTTGTTGTTATTGTCAGTTGCTGTCTAGTCAGCTCTGATTCATGGCAATCCCACGTACAACAGAACAAAACATTGCCAGGTCTTGCCCATCTTCACAATCGTTGGAATTCCATCCTTAGAATTCCATTGTTGCGACCACTGTATATTCTGAGTGCCTTCCATCCTAGGATGCTCTTCTTCCAGCAATGTGTTGGACAAAGTTCTATTATGCTCTGTAGTGTTTTCATTGGCTAATTTGTCAGAAATAGATCACTAGATCTTTCTTCCAGGTCTGTCTTAGTCTGGAAGCTCTGCTGAAACCTGTCCACCACAGGTGGCCCTGCTGATATTTGTGATACCGGTGGCATACATATCTTCCAGCATCACGGCAACATGCAAGCCACCACAGCATGACAAATGGACAGGCGGTGGATCTCTTATCTACTTGTGTATTATTTCTGCTCTGTTTGTTGGAGACTCAGACAACGGAGCCTCTTCCTCATCAGAGGGGAGCAGAAACCGAGGACAGGTTGGATTTCTCTCCCCTTGCCGATAAGCACATTCGCCTGCTCTGTATTGCTGAGTTCCTGGGTGCCATGGTGATGTGCCCTGCCAACTGGTGAAAAGGCAGACAGGAGGAGGAGGAGGAGTTGGTCTGAACACGCATTTTCCATTTCCCCCAATTGGGCACACTGAGCAGACAATAGCTTGCAAACATGTTTCGTTCCGCATTTGTTCTCTTGGTTTCAGGACCCTTTCCACTGATGGTGGGAATTGTGAACTCCCACCACATTGCATGCCTTTCCAAAGAAGCAGCGTCAGCAGGTGGGTGGGGCTGGGGGTGTCTCCATCTGCTTGAAGTCGCAGATGTATTTTCTGTTTGGTTGAAGATTTTGGATAATACATGTATTTCTAACACAGCTTCAGGACCCTTGGGTTTCCAGGCAAATAAATAAAGTAAAAACTGTTCTTGAGTTTGGCTGCAGCGTGTGGTTCACTGTGATGATGGAAACATGTTGAGGCTTGGATTTGCCAATCGCTAGTCACGTAGATTCAGGTTCTGATTTTCTAACCTAGCCGTGCAGATTGATTGTAATAAACTAAGGGAGGGCTTTGCTTCAGAAGACCCAGAGAAGCAGCTATGTTTTTAGGTGTGAGCATTAAGCTCCAAGGCTATTCTTCCACTTCCCACAGGCCTCCTTCTTGGTTCCCCAAGAAGCAAAATCACAGCCCCCATCTTCCTGCTGACTCAGTGCCCATGTCTCACTGGATGGGAAGGTTTGTCGGGACTCACACGCTCCAGCTGTGGCTTTGGGAAGAGCAGCTCCATCCTGGAGGTCATAATTCTTCAGCTTTGGGAGAGGACAGTGAAGAATCACCTGTATGCTCCTCGCATCTCAAGTTTAGCGAGTGCCTGCTCCTCAAATCCACCGCATCCTCTTGGTGAACAGAGGGATGATGGGAGCAATTTCACACTTCCAGGGAGACATTTGTAATTATACAATGCTCATGTGAACGTTTTTCTCAGAGAATAACATTCTGATTCTATTTCATGCAACTCCTACCAGAATAATGCTAGCTAATGGGATGAATATTAAGGTAAAATTTACCAAGGAAAGTGGCAAATTTTGTTACACATATTTTGCCACACACACAACAGTTAGAAATACGAGGAAATAAATCTGTGGCCTCAGGCTGGAACACAGCTTCCCACAGTGGGGTGAGGGGGAGCTGCCAAGAGTTATAAGAAAGGCAACGCAGAAACACAGCAAACTATTCTAAAAACATTTCCTCAGTCAACATTCCTAGAAATACATTTATTCCAGAAATATGGTCAGAGAGCACGTTGATGGATATTGCATGGGACACTAACTGTTCAATTTAGAAGCAAAATGAACACAGTCTTTTGTTTCCCTGGAGCCTCCTTCATCAGAAATCTCTAGCTTCACCAGATTGTCTTTGGTCTTCTCTAGAAGTGGGTTGGCCTCTACAGAGGACAGCATCTTCATTTACCCTGTCTCTGTGTGTCTAGAGCTGGGTCTGGAAGCTAGGGCACCTGGGATGTGGGGGTCCCATTCCCCACTGGGGATGTGGCTCAGCCCCCAAATGTCCTCCACTCCCTGGGAGTCCTGAGGAGACTCAGATGCTCCAGATAGAGCTTCAGCTCAGGCTTCCAGATAGATAGGAGGTCCAAGGCAGACACTTACTGAAAAGAGACCCAGCAGTAAAACCCCACTTCATTTCAGATAGGATTCAACCAGCAACCCACCACCAGATGACAATTGTTGCTGCGCTGTGTCCCTCCTCCATTCTGACGCTGTACTTTGGAAGCAGATAACTTGTATCCTAGCTTTCACAGGTTCAAAGTCGGAGAGGAATGCTGCCCCAGGGTGGAATGCACCCAGAATCATACTTAGTGGTGTCACTAGGGGGGTGAAGGGTGTGGACCACACTAGGTGACACTTTCAGAGGGGATGACACCAAAATGACTGTCTATAAACTTTTTGTGCAGTGTTTGAGCAGAAATTTATTATTTTATATAAAAATATCCCTGTAGTTAGTTATAACAACAAAAACATGTTTTGTAAACCCAGTTTGTATGTATCAATATACCTAAAAGGCTAAAACTGTATGCTAATTCACTTTTTGAACCTTCTAATGCACTCCAGTCAGAGTTGTGATTATCACTCAATTACAATGATGCTTCAAATCACATGGTTTTGTCTACACGCACTACAAGCACACACCGTTGTTTTCATTGCTGCCAGTGTTTTTATAGCTGCTGATTTTGTAAAATTTTCTGGTGTTTTAGCTACAACATTGTGGTAAGTAGTATTTGTGAAACTATATCAATAACTTTTTGAGAATAAAGTAGTAATTAAATGAAAAGAAGGAGGAAAATCAAAAAAGGTTTCCACCGAGTTACTAATAATGTTGTGATTCAATATAGAAAGATTTTACTAAACAATTTTGTTGTTAGAATTCATATAATCTAAGAAATATTACATTTAAGCAATTTACAACTATATTTATCACATATGATTCTATGATTAAAATTGATAATAAAAATTACTAAGGATTCTGCATGGTCTGGTACAAGAGGAGGTCCATGTGGTGGGGGCAGTGATACTATGAGTTAACACACTGGGTAACATCAACCCCAGTGATACCGCTGGTCAAACTTGATTTAGATGATCCAGAAGACTAGAGTTTGGGCTAGATGCTGGAATGGGTTAAGACTTTTGGAAAGACTTGATGGGGTGAATGTGTTTTGCATGCGGGAAGGATATGAATTTTTGGAGGGTGGGGCAAAGGGTGGAATGTTATGGATTGAATTGTGTGCCCCAAAAATATGTGTTGGAATCTTAATCCTTATACCTGTGGACGTAACCCCATTGGGGAATAGGGTTTTCTTTCTTACGTTTGAGACCACATCAGGGTGTGTCCTAAACCTAATCATTTCTGAATGATATAAACAGCAACAGAGACACAGAAGGAAGTACAAGCTGGGGAAAGATAGATGGCACCTGGAGACAAGGATTTTCCCCCAGAATGAACAGAGAGAGCCTTACCCTAGAGCTGATATCCTTAACCTGGACGTCTAGCCTCCTAAACTGTGAGAAAATGGATTTCTGTTCTTTAAAACTAACCCCTTGTGGTATTCCTGTCACAGCAGCACTAGGAGACTAAGATAGAATTTTTCTTAGTCTTCAGTCCCCAAGCCCCAGGAGTAACAATCTGTCCTCCACTGACAGGGACTTGAGATGGTGACACCACAAAAGCAACTGAGAAGTCTGACCACGTATGCTTAGGTAAATGCTGTAGCAATCCCCAAAGAAAAAAATAAATGCAAAGTTTGGCAAATTAAAAATGCCACTTAAATTCTCAGTCCCTCATGAGAGCGTAACAATAGCTCTGGACCTGGAAGCACTAAGATGACACCAGAGCTGAGCGTTCAACGTCAGCCCTCTTTAAACTAATGACCACCCATCCTAGAGATGTCAGACAGTCCCAGTTTCTAATGCTGTTGGATGTCTAAGCGTAGTTGTACTTGTCAGACTGTGGCTATTCTAACTTGAGGCTTAGAAAAGATGGTTTCCATAACTTTGATCTACAGAGAGATAGACCTCCTTGAGTGAGAAGAGAAGCAGTCAGCAGTGTCCAAGAGAGAAAGAAATCAACTGGATCATCCAAATGGACTTTGGCAACCAAGAGGGTGACAGATGTTGTACGCAGATGGCTCCCATATTGGGGAAGGATCCCAGTGACAGGGCAGGGATAGCCACATGTTGTAGAGGGGTCTTGCTGGGAATGAGTTTAGGGGTTGTATTAATACAAGCTATGAACAGTGGTATATTCCTGTCTTATGATTCGTTTGCCATCTAATAACTATAGAATGTTGTCTTAAACCTTTATGCCAAGGAAAAGAGTAAGTACTAGGAACATCTGCCTCAATGAGCCAAAAACATGAAGTTTTGGGGAAGAGTTAATATAAATTCAGTGAACATTGGCTTCACTGCCTTCCTTCTATATGAAGCTCCCATCTCTCTCTCTCT